AATGCGGAAAGGGAATAAGTTGGTATAAGTTGGCTCGCCAAGTTGCTTTCGCAGCTCTTAAAAGCAACGCTGCGCGACTCCGCGTGTTATTATGACAAGTTTCCGTCCACGGATCCTTCGAAATTTCTCGATTCTCCGCGGAGAAAAAGGATCGAGACTGGCTTTTTACCTCCGTGACTTTTCGAAGTATATTCGAAGGGACGTGTAGTTTCAAGAGTGGAAGTATATTCGTTCGGGACTTTTCAAATCGTTTGTCCGCCAAATTTTTATCGCGAGATAAAAATTCGCGCGAGAATCATTCGCAGAGAAACTCGCTCTTTTCGCTTTCGTGAAGAAAGAAGAATGTGAGATGAAATGTGTATGTATATATGTATGTATGTATACACAAATACACAGGAACGGGAGGAGGGAGAACTTTGAACTCGAATATCGTTCACGTTGTTACACGTCGCTTGTTGCACGTCTGATACTGTTTCTTCCAAGTACATCGAGTCGAAAGAAACGTGACGACACGCCTCGCGGGAGCACGTGCATCGTGGATAACAAGATCGTTCCATTAATAGATAGAGGAACACGGACCGGATCGATCGTGATCAAACGCTGGTACGCGTATCGACCGACGCCTAATTTCTTCCGATCGTCAACCGGCGGCCATTGTCGAAGTGATACCTGGTATACCGGTCGTGTTGCACGTCGAGAAGTGTTTTTTTTTTTTTTTACCCCGATGCAAATTAATCGTTAACCGATCGTATGCCAAGCGATAATATATCGTCGATGCCTCGACGAGTGTTCGTGGCTGAATCGAAAGCGATAATTAGCGACTCCATCGTGAATATTCCGTCCCTGTATAGCGCGTGAATTAATGCGATTTGGATGACGCTAACCGGTATCGACGTGATGGCGTGTATCAGAGCACCGAGATCTGTGTGCGGATCGAGCGACGACATCAAGGCTGACTCGACGCGCAACGTCGTACAGGTAAACGTCATAATGTGGCCAAACACGGTTTTTTATATATTATGTTTTACCAACGATACAGTTTTTTCTTTCGTTTCTTTCTCGTATACCGTTAGCTCGAAAACTCGAAAGACACGTGCGTTGCTTCGCGTCACTCCAATGAGAAAAATTTAATAGTTGAAGTTACCTAGATAATTTATCGTTCGAGGTTATACGAAAAGAAGATCGACTATAATCGATTATAATAACATAAATATAAATAGAAATTCTATATTCTAGATTTTTAACTGTTTAATGCTCAATTCTGATTATAGATAATTATTGTTATAGATAATTGTATTAAATATCTCCAGCATCGATGGACAAAATTTAATAGTTGAAGTTTTTTTCGATAAGTTATACGAAAAGAGAATCGATTATAATTGATTATAATAATAGAATATTTTAAATTTTTAATTGTTTAATATCCAACTCTGGTTATAGATAATTATTGTATATTATTATAAATATAATTCATTAAATATCTCCAACATCGATGGGCAAAATTAAATAGTTACTTTACGATTATTTTTAAAAAATAATTATTAATAATCGCGAATAATTGTAACGGTTGAGATTATACGAAAAGAGAATCGATTATAATCGATTATAATAATAGAATATTCTAGATTTTTAACTGTTTAATACCCAATTCTGGTTATAGATAATTATGTATTATCTATTATTATTATTATATATATTATTATATATATATATTATTATATATATTATTATAAATATATTATTATAAATATATATATTATTATAAATATAATTCATTATATTAAATCAATAATGTATCTCCAACTCGATGGCCAAAATTTAATAGTTACTTCGGTCAAGGTTATATGAAATGAAAATCGATTATAATCGATTATAATAGATAATAATAATAGAATATTTTAAATTTTTAACTGTTTAATGCTCAACTCTGGTTATAGATAATTATTGTATATTATTATAGATAATTCATTGTATTAAATATTTCCAACATCGATGGGCAAAATTTAATAGTTACTTCGATAATTTATTTTTAAAAAATGTATTAATAATCGCGAATAATTGTAACGGTCAAAGTTATACGAAAAGAAAATCGATTATAATCGATTATAATAGATAATAATAATAGAATATTTTAAATTTTTAACTGTTTAATGCTCAACTCTTATAGATAATTATTATATATTATTATAGATAATTCATTGTATTAAATATTTCCAACATCGATGGGCAAAATTTAATAATTACTACTTAATTTATTTTTAAAAAACGTATTAATAATCGCGAATTGTAACGGTTGAGGTTATACGAAAAGAGAATCGATTATAATCGATTATAATAATAGAATATTTTAGATTTTTAATTTAATATCCAACTCTGGTTATAGATAATTATTATATATTATTATAAATATAATTCATTATATTAAATATCTCCAGCATCGATGGGCAAAATTTAATAATTGAAGTTTTTTCGATAAGTTATACGAAAAGAGAATCGATTATAATCGATTATAATAATAGAATATTCTAGATTTTTAACTATTTAATATCCAACTCTGGTTATAGATAATTATTGTTATATAATTTTTGTTATAATATTATATATATATATAATACAATATAATTGTTATAATATTATTATAAATATAATTCATTGTATTAAATATCTCCAACATCGATGGGCAAAATTTAATAGTTACTTCGATAATTTATTCTCAAAAAACGTATTAATAATCCGTATATAAATAAATAATAAAAAAATAAATAAAAAAAAAATAAATAAACGTATGAATAATTGTAATGAAAAACGAATCGATTATAATATATAATATATATATATATAATCGATTGTAATATATATAAAGTTATACGAATATTCGAATATTTTTTAATTAATTATTTTTTCAACGGTTTAATCTATCGCTCGAAGAATTATAGACAGATAGCCGTTTCCATTCGACCAAGTGGTTACCAAGTGGTCTGGTAAAGTTGTTCACCGAGGGGCGCGTATAATAATAATGAAAATTAGAATCTGCGTGGTGACCCGAAATTATGAAGGAAGTTGATCCTGCTTCTCTCTTTGCCACGCTCAAAAATAGTAGCTCGTGTCTCGACTGGCTCGTCGTCGACACGGCTGAGAAACGCGTACGTGTGCGAGAGACGCGTACACGTGCAAACGTACGTGCAATAGGATTGGTCACTGGTAGACGAGTCCGGGGATGTATGTAAATACACAACGCGTGCCTCCATAGAATACGAATGCGTGCACCAACTCATAGGTGCAAACAGAAGAACACGATTCGTTTTGCTTGTGTGCGCGCGTGAACACGAAGAAGCCACGAAGAGGGAAAGAGGACGCGCGCACGCGTATGGGTGATTCGGTGACTAATTCCTTTCCACCGTGAACCTTCATCTTCTCTCGATCCGTCTGCCTCTATTCTTCCTTTCCTCTTTCGAGCGCCGCGAAAAATATCGGCCCTCGTCCCAAAAAACGATAAACTCTGCCCTTCTTTCCACGAAAGAAAACGTCTTCTTCCGGTTCGAGGTGATTAGAAACACTTCCCAGTCGAAGGAGAGAATTTTAATTCATTCGTGTGCCTTTTCGTCGTATAGATAATGAAAAAGGTGGATATAATTGTAAAAATGTAAAAATATCGGCTGACTATATCTGTTGCTTCGATTATTCTCTTAACGATTGTTCCTTCGATTCCACGAAACGAAGGAACGGGTGGGAAAAAAAAAAATGAATCGTCGTTAAATACGTGGAAGTTGATTTAATCGTATTTGATAGAGACAACGCACCTGCGTCGGGTGAAACGACGAGTTAGTCGTCGTAATGCATCGTACATAGTGGAGACAGAACGATAAAAGTATGCGCATAGGGGCCATATAGGCCTCGCGTGCAATAGAGTTAATAAACGTAAGTGTGCCTACATGGTTGCAATAGGCAACGAATAACAGTTACTATAGTTCGGCTGACGAGCGAACGCGTGATTAAAATGCGAATGAAAATATATCGTGCTCTTTTTTCTTTTTTTTTTTGCGGATAAATTTTCTCTAAAGAAAATCTATGATCATTTCCATGTCCGTCCAACATCTGATCGATTATTATTATTTTATTTTATTTTTTTTTACTTGCAGATCTATACCGATTGGGCGAATTATTATTTGGAGAGAGGCGGTTGCAAGAGAAGAGTGACAGATCTGCAAACGGATCTTTGCGACGGTGTTCTTCTTGCCGACCTGGTCGAGGCAGTCAGTGAGTAAATCGTAATTGTTAACGTTATAAATCGCGGATGTTATCCTGTTCGAGACAAGGAGAGCGAAAAATTGTATATCTCTTATTTTCACGCCGTATCGTTCGTGCCGGTGTGTGTTTCAAAGTGAATGAAATGGATGCCGATAATAAAGCGGCAAAGTAACAGTACTCAATGGTCGAATCGTTTATGGTATTGGACAGTTACCCATAACACATAAATCGTCGGTAAAGTCGTTAGTTCGGGAGGGTAACGTGGTCACGTGCCAAACGCGTACGTCACGAGCGATGTACCTCGATAAATTCGAAACGATTTGTTGTCCGTTAGCCCGTTAGGCATCTTTGTATTAATTGTCCTATATTTTTCGTTGCAGCCAATCAGAAGGTGATCGACGTGAATAGGAAACCGAAGAACTCGCAACAAATGGTAAGCTTTAAGCATATCATAAAAATCATCGTTTATTAACATCGCGTATAACCTAAAAAATTGCTTTAACGTCTTTCAAGATTTAGAATCGATACGCGAAAGAGGAGGATAGAAAAAGTTTCAGTTCAAGACTACGTTCCTGCAACATGGTACGAGTTGTCATTTAAAAATAGAAGGTCTATAACCGCGTTTGGGGTACATAGATAAAATCTGAAACTAAACGTCTCATCCACTCATCCACAGCTGCACGCTAGATAATTACTCTTTCTCCCTCTGCGATTACGAAGTTGCAGGAAATACTTACTTACAAAAATAAATCGAGGTGAGCAAAATCTGAGAAAAAAGAGTTTTATGGTCTCAGATATATTTCTTCCTTTAGTTAGCGAAATAAAATAGATCGTACCAATTAACGTGAAAATCTTATTGGAAGAATCTTCGTTCTTCGTATTCGATTCTAATCTCGCAGGCTAGACGATAATAAAAGAAGCAAAGGAGTGGAGAGACGGAGAGTATTTTATGGATTTTAACTGCATCTCTCGATGAGAACGAGCTGCGTCACATCCGGATAGATCGTCAAAATCGAATTACACTTTGCCTCTTCGTGTTCTCCATTTGCATAATCTCGAAAGAATGCGTCACGGATCGAAGATAATATTTTCAAAACGAAGAGTAACTATACTACTTGTAACTATCTTGATCGATTATTTTTACGTTCGTGTCAATTCCGAATTACGATTTTTTAAACAACAGAGAAAAGAATAGGAGAAAAAATTTTTAAGGATGAAAAGTTAAAAGATTAAATTTTACTTCAATATCTGACGGTATTAAAAACTTCACAGAGTAGTTCGTAAAGTTATTCAATGCCGAGCGCATTATTCAACTCCTCGATGACCTAGTAAAGTTGCGAAAAACTTCTTCTAGAACGTTCTTAGAGCAAAGCCCTTTCGAATATATAATCTCTTCGAAAGTTTTTCAACGTTCGCCAAGACACGACGTTCGTCTCCAGCCTAAGTATCCTCGAAAATAGCCATCTTTCGCGAAATTGTGAAACTTAAATTATTAATCGAGAGAACAGAGCCTGAGGATCGGGGGTCTATTAGAAAATATTACCATGCTTTCAAACAAAATACACGATCCGTTATTAGATCCAGATTAGCTTTCCAATTTTGTTGAGAGTGGAAAGAAGAAGGGCTCCGGTCTATAATTAAAGCAACGCTGTTGCGTCCGTGCTGTACGTGTACACGCGCGAAAACGTGGTCAAATGTAACGCGTGTAACGTTCGAAATATATATGTACTCTATATACACGTACACATACACATACACGCGGCAAACCGCGAAACCGAGTCACGTGTTTTCCTTCCAAGGTTATAGTTGAAGCACGCTGCTAACAACGCGTCACTTTTCAATCCGTAGCTGCTCGTGCGACACGTTCGACCCGTGTAAACAAAAAGGAAACGCGTGTTTTTTTCTCGAGAAACGGGGAAACGCTTCGATCGTTTCGAACAAAAGAGAGATATAACAAGAGAGCGCGTGTTTGTGCAAAAATAACAAATACGATTCTATCCTCGATCTTTCGATAGTACGTTTAAGAATCGAAAATTATCGATTGATTTTTTCCACGGTAAAAGAAAAAGAATCTTTTATCTAAGGAAGATAAATATAAGGAAGGAAAGTTTTGGGAAAATGAAAAGAGATTGGTGTTTACAAGGAGAAGGATGGATTTATTTATTTTTTTTTTTTTTTTGTTGTTTCTCATCGTTATTATATAGAGCGATTTGTTTTTTTTTTAAAACAGTCATCGACGAAACTGGAATCCCGAGTGACCAGCGTCGCATCGAGATCTATTTCTATTTCACGGAGAGTCCACTCCCGTGGAACAGTGACTCATTCCTTGTATACGTTATTAGTCAACCGGCCGTCTTTCAACGATTTCGCTAATAAATTATAAACACGAGCATTATTCCAAAGCACAATGATCGGATCACTGTACGCGATTCTCTCGCGAGAAAACTAACTCAAACACTCGATAAAGGTATTCCATTTTATAACCAGTACATAACAATTATATTTATCGTTTAATCTTAATCGTTTCTTTGTCCTAAAGAAAATACACGTTCGTATATAAAGTGTAAATGATTTCAAAAAATGTTCTTGTTTGAAAAATTATTTATTTGGGATGTTTTGGAAAGTGGTGGAGAGATGGCGGGCAAATCGATGGCTCGTAAGCGCTACGAAAATGGTCGCTACAGGTGTCCCAGATATAGATGCAGTATTATATACAGGTTAGAAAAGAGGGATTGAGAGAACAGCAGGGAAACATGGGTGTGGTGTTTTCTGGTTAGAAATCAAAAATATAAATTATCTTTTATCCTCTTTCTTGCCACAATAAAATTAAATTCAACTCGTCTCGATCATCGAATTTTCTTCGAAATTTATTCATTTTTTTGCGACGATCGTTAATCGAAGTTTCGTTCGTCGCATTCGCATTCTAAAAAAAAGAAATATTAATCTTTACAAGAGACGACAAATTAAAAACGAAACATGGATCGGGTTGAAAATTAAAATGAAAGGTAACTAACTGGCAATTATTTTTCTTTTTTCGGTTTGGTACGGTTTACTCGGCGGATCGTAACTTTTATTACCTCGAACAATATTCACGGTTAATTACTACACGGTTAGTGGTCGCGTGAAAGAGTGTGGGTATCGACGATACACGCGGCCAATCATTAACGTGGAAGGAACGTGGGAATAAGAAAAATGCGCGGAAGAAGTAGGCAATGCACCCACACAACGTGTAATTTCCGAACGATCCTTCGTCGCCATCTTCCTCCGGCTATAATTCTATCTCCCCGTTCTTTCCTTAATTAATGTCCACCGAGACGAGATTCCTTTGTACACGTGCTCGTCTCGCTCGTTGATCACGCGAATCTTTCTTTCTAATTTTTATTTTTATATAATTTAAATTATCCAATTTCGAAAAATTTTTAAAATATTACGTAATTAATTTTTTTAATCTATCTATATATGCTCATATAACTCATATATATTTTTTTTTTTTTTTTTACCTTTAAACTTTGAACTGCCATTAAAAAAGTTGAAATAACGAATTTTCACGTAAATGAAGTAACGAAGAGAGAGTGGTTCTCGAGTTTTAGTTTTTCCATCGGTTCGTGTAAAAGATGCACGTGGGGAGGGAGGAGGGCGTGCAGAAAACCTCTCTCGCGAATTTCCATCCAATTTACTCGGTTATCGCGTATCCTAGAAGTTATTCGTTGCAGGAGATCACATCAGGAGAGGGTGGTTCTCGGTATTTCCCTTTGAAAATACAATCGAATTAAGGAAATCTTTCTCGAAGGGGACCGAAATCTCTCTTACCTTTCCAAATCGGTTATATATTATACTCTCCGCGAATAAAACCATTCGAACGAATCGATATAGGATTATATCTTACGAAAAAGGATCGTGTGTTTTTAGAGTTTCCAAAGAGAAAGAAATTGCAAGTAGCGAGATGGAAAGAGGAGAAATTTCGGTGGTTATTCTCGTAGGAAATGTGGTCGAATCATGATACGAACTGACCCCACGTTACGAGGATCGGCGGCCACGTGGATACCTGCTTTTAAGGCTGGTGTACGCAACCAGCTACTACTCCACTCCCACTACCTGCTTATTTCTACTTCCCACCCTGTCCACTTTTATCCGCCGTCTCTTTCTTCCCCTGCACCCTGCTAACACACTCTTCTCCATCTCCCAACCCGACCAATTGCGGTGTAGCTTACCTCTACCTCGTGTCTGCGTTCTCTGTCTCTTGTCGGTTAGTGTCTCACGAGTGATCCGGTAGCGTGGATGCTGTGCCGATCGCGCTCCACACATTTTGCTACGCCGCGGCCGAAAAGCCACGCGATATCGATTCTCGATCGGGAAAGAAGACGATCACTTTTTATTTTTTCTTTTTTTTTTTTCGTTTCACAATCGCGTTACGACGCGGAGACGAAAAGTGAAAGTGTTCGAAAGCACGTGGTGTGTTGGAGAATTTAAAGTGTTTTTTTTTTTTTTTTAAAATGTTGTTTTCTTGTTCGAGCGTAAAAGCG